GTTGTAGAGATTAGCACAGTGGGGTTTGGGGTGCAAAAGTGAGCAGAGAGGGTAAATTGGGATGCAGAGGTTATCATAGAGTGGGTTCACTGTAAATACATCCATTACATTAGTGGTCAGTGTAAATACCCCAGCAACATTGGTGGTCAGTTTAAATACCCCCCTTACATTGGTGGTCGGTGTAGAATCTCCATTGCATACATGCCAAACATTTCCAGCGGTACATGATTCAGAATTCTAATTTACAGCGTAATGCCTCCTAACTAGTTTTATTACACAAAATTTTGACACATATTACCGGCAGCCACAACAGGTGTCACAGTACTCAGCAGAATGGTCAGTGTCAAATAAGGATTTCTGGATATTTTATGCCAAATGTGTTTGCAGTGTAATTGTTGTTTATCATTGTATTCTCTGCAAGATCTTATGGGCTGCTGCACTTTATAGACCCATGGTTCTTAACTGGTGAGTCGCAAGCCTGTGTCAGTGGGTCATCACATGCCTTCCACTGCGCTAGGTGAGAGGCTCCCCAGCCTCCTCCTAGCGTAGCACTGTCCGTTCTCATGCCGAGCCATTCAAAATATGCTGCTGAGCGCTGGGTGTCAGCTTGAGGTGTGGTGGGCTGAGGGTCTGGCCGCGAGGGAGCTCCATCCATATGTGCATTGCTTGCAGCTCCCTTGCGTGCCCTGTAGAGGTTCCTGGACCGGAGTGACGTCACAATCTGGGTTTCCGGCGCCTCTACAGGACGCGCAAGGGACACAGCAACCCACACTAGACCCCAGGCTGCGGATCCAGTAGGAAACTAAGTGGATCTTTAAAAAAAAAAAAAAAAATTGATTTTAGAGTGTGTATATGTGCATAAGAATGTCTGAGTATGTGAGATTGTGTCTATCAGTGTTTTTAGGGGCCCATTGACACTAGCACAGTGCATTAATCGCACAGTCCCATGAGATTAACACACTGTACCACACAATCGCACCTCCCTTGTGTTCTGGTGTTTTGAGGTGCGTTGTGTTGCCATTCATTTGCATGGCACCCCAAATGCAGCTCCCGCCCACAGTTCGATCGCCTGCCCCCGGAATGCGCGGTACCACAATGCTGCACGTTCCAGTGTAGTGTGACTTGGCTCGCAACTTAATGACCAAGGACAAATGTGGGTCCTGAGGTTACACAGGTTGAGAACCACTGTTATAGACTGTAGGGACTAAGGCTAGACCTACACATGTGGATTTCACTCGTTCAGCCCTGGGTTTCTGTCCTAATGCTTCAAATATATATAGTATTTTAAAGTTAAATTGTACAATAGGTTAACGATATACCACTTGAAGAACTCCGCCCATTTTAAAATGCCCCTAAAGCCCAATCTCTGCCAACAATAACTTTGCAAAAAAACTGCACAGCAAAAAAAGATGTCCCTTGAAATGTTTTGGAAATGTTGACAACTATGAAACTGCAGTTGACCTTGTGACCTGCTTCAAGCTGCATTTGAATTCCAATAGATTTGTATGAAGAGTGAAACAAATCTTACTCAAAGAAAAAGCACATCCAGAAGACTTTTAGTGTTTGATGGCATTATACACAGATGACTCTCCTCTTATTCTGCTGCATACAAAATTAAAAAGGTAAATACAAAGAGTGATTGAAGATACTTGTGCTTGTTTAAAGTTCAAGAGATGAGACATAGCTTCTGTATCATGCAGATGTGGATGAGACAGAAACCAAGTAGTCTAATTTTTTGTTTTTTCCATAAAAGCAAACATTTTCCGGATTATAGTTTTTCATTTAGTAACAGAGGATTTGAACTCTGAAAGCTGTACCAAACAAGTGTCAGGCAGGGTGCAAAGACCCTGTATTGCCTATGATCTCCCTGCAGCTGATCTTTTCCCATGACTGACTTCCCATGCCTTGTTCTGCACAATGTCCGTGTATGGAGATGGCCATCTTCGTAGAGACAGGGTTTTGCTTCCTGATGGCAGAGTCTCCAGCCAGGGGAACAGTGAGCAGCACCGTAGTAATAGCAGCAAATCTTACTCCAAATAAGATGAGCAGTCAGAGCCTTAAATTCTATACTTGACATACAAACTATAAGACTGAAGACCCAGGAATGCCAAGGCACCCTCACATAGCAAGAAGCACACTTTTTTCAGGAGGTTACTGGCAAAATTTTATTTCTAGATGTCCCCTATAACTTAGCAAATCATCACGTTTAAGTCCTCTTTAACGTGTGGAAACGGTGGGAACAGATGAACAATGCATAGGTTTAGAGCCCCTAGAGCTGATATAAAATCTGTAAATATGTTTACATGCAGTACATTTGTTTGCCTTTCTTACCAGAGTAAGATAAGTGGTTGCTTTGGATATTACTAAAGACAAAGCATGGGAAATCTGCTAAGGGGGATCTTGGTAGAAGCAGGCCCGGCGCTACCGCAAGGCAAGTCAGGCGGCCGCCTGAGGACGCTGCAGGGTGAGGGCGGAAAAAACAGGGCATTTTGACAAGTATTTGTACTTGCCAAAATGCCCCGATGCTTGCGCTATGTTTTTTTTTTGTCACTTACCTTCGGTGCGGGAGAGCAGCGGCGAGTCAGCGAGGGGATCCCGACACGCGCGGCACCTCTGGCGGTCGCCGGCCAGCTAAATTAGGACCCCACCTGGAGCTCCTCCCACCGGACCAGCGCTGACTCGCCGCTGCTCTCCC